GCCTGGCCAGGTGGCCAGCGATCAACTCCGCAGGGTGCCGCGATTGACAGGTTGGTGACGACTGCTCTGAGGTGCAGCAGGGGCAATGCCAGCTTGCCCCTCTCCGCTGGAGCAGCTCGCCGGAGGGCTGGGATGAGTGCCGCCTCTGAACCAGGCCCTCCTTGGGCTTGGGGTTTAGATGGGTCAAGAAGGGAAATGAAGATCTTTGCCTACACACGTCCCATGTTACTACCACTCGCCCAGAGCAGGGCAGGTGAATGCAGTGCCTGGAGCACTCAGCATCACTGCCACCAGTGGCAGCAATCATGGGAAATTGCAGAAGGAAAAACCCGTGTTTCTGCAAGACAGTGCAGGCCGGATTTCAGCCAGTGTCCTACAGGAGTCTGCTGCCCCGTCTCCCGGCCTCTTGGGACAGCGTCTGCCTTTTCCTCGGTCTGTGCTTCGCTTACGCTCGGTTTGCCGTTCCCTTCTATCGTGGAGCATGGCAACTGGGCGCCTTCCCCACAAAGGAGCCATATTGTGCCCTGACTCGTCAGCGTGCTCGGCGCGAAAGGGCAGTGAACTCGCAGCAGCCCCCTTCCATCTGGGAGCAGGGGCTTGGCACTTGAGTCCAAGCGCTGGCTCCCTTGGACGCTTTAGCTTAAACTGGTTCCGCGAGAAAGCCAAGCTGTGTCTCCGCAGCTTTGGATTAAACAAAGTAGCTAGCCTGAGCCCTTGGGGGAGGGGGTTGCATTTCAGACTCCGAGAGGAGGGCTGTGGGAAGCGAGGGCGAGTCGCTTTTGAAGGCAGAGCAAATGCTGTTCGTGGCATAGGCCGGGAAGGGTGGGTGTATATTTGGCAGAGTCCAGCTCCCCCCACCCCTTTCTGGAATTAAACCACATCACTGTGGTGCTGTGCTGAAGGCCTTCCAGAGTCTGCTGGCAGCCCAGGTGCCAAGCACCACCAGGGACTTCACTGCCAGAGTGTCGTTCAAAGGGGAGCAGGACACAGCGATGCTGGAGGTTTGGTCCACGTTTGTCTGGAGCTTGCGGTCCTCTTGTAATTCACATTGTTAGACCCCAGTATCAGTAGGAATTGAGACACTCCACAACCCCTTGTGTCCTGGAGTGTCTAGATAAGCATTTCCCATTGTTGGTTAACGGGTGGTCCCATAACAGCAGCTATAACAACAAGAAGTCCTGTGGCGCCTTAAAGACACTGACTTGTATTTGGACACAAGCTTTTGTGGGCTGGAAAGTGACATAGGGACTGGCCCTCAGTGGGTGAGTGTTTCTGCTGCAGGTGAAACTTCTACCACGCGCACGAGGCAACCCTGGCAATGCCGACAGCCCGGCTTCAGAAGCAGAATGTGGAAGTGATGGTGCCAGGTAGGATTTACTTCAAAGTGGTCTGAATTTTGCTACGTGCCCACTGACGAGAGGCGCAGCTGGCTTCCCGATGTACCGAGACCGTCTGAATGGCTTTTCTGAGGCATGTTTTTAACCTGACTACTGATCTGAACACCATTAGCTTTGCTGGAGGATCTTGGGGCTATCTGAGCCTGTGCAGTATTCACTCTCATGCCTTGCTTGGAGGAGCAGGTGTATTCAATCTGTTACTGGCTTCATTTCTCAGAAATGTTAATTAGTCATTTGAAACTGAACAGGTTTTAACAGAAACCAAACCCCTGCATTCTGAATGGCCTGCCTCAAAATTCTTCCCCCTCCTACCTGCTCTGTTTTCTCTCATTTCTTCAGTTATCCTTTCACCATAGAGGTCTCCTGCGTGGACAAAAGCAGCCTAGCCGAATTAAGAAAGGCAACTTTAAAAAGAGAAGGCCAAACACAACACAGGCCCCTGGTTTTGCTTTGCGGTTCACCTTTAAAGTTCTACGTGGCTACGTGTGTTAGAAAAATGCCTTACTTCTCCTGGTTGAAGTGGCTTCATCGGTGATTGTTGAGATGCATAAGTTGTGATCTGCAGGGAATTTGTTGCAGTTTAGGATGTCAGGCCATGGGTAGCCATAGCAAGCCATGATTGGGGCACAGCTGTCCCGAACAGCTTCACACAGGCTGCGGCAGGGGTAGATGAACCTAGGGAGAGAAACAGGACTGGGCTGAGCCTTCATCTTCCCCTGCAAGCACAAGTGACGGGTTAACTGTTCCAGAGCAAGCTCCAACCACCAGCCTCCCTGAATTAACAGCGTTGTGCTGTGCTGTGGAGTGACCTCTCTAGTCCCTGCAGGTTACATGAGTGAGTCAGAAAACAATCGTCCCAGGCCCAGAGGTTCCCTCTAGAAAGGCAACATCTTTTTTTCTTGAGTATCTGGTACTGATTGTCCAGAAACGGTTAAACTGGACCTGGGGTGGCAGGCATTGTCTTCCCTGTGAAAACGCGCACTTGGAAACCCAGCCCTACATATGTGTGTGGCCGAGGCGATTATAGGATGGAATTGGGGGCTAAGAGCCGTTCCCTTCTCCGTAGGAAGGGTGCGGGGTGTTGCCACAGGCGCCCTTCTTCCAGAGGTGAAGGCGCTTGCTCTAACTGAGCAGCTGCTGCTTGTATTTCTGCTCTCTAGCTAGCTTCCTGGCACTCCTCAATTGCTGTGCAGCCAGGACCCTTCCTTTGTAAGAACCCCTTGGAGCCTCTGGCAGGGGATCCTGAGGGGTCTGGCCAAGAGGCTCTCAAGTGCCGGTACTTCAGCTACCCCTCCCCTCGCTGCTTCTCATCTCCTGCCCTTTGGCTGGGAGCTTCCCCCTGTTCCCCGGGAGCCTCCTGCTTGCGGTACAGAGCCAGGAAGGGAGAGGAGGGGCGCTGATGTCAGGGTGCCCCCCTCCCACCCTGTATGTCTCCACAGAAGGGGAGGGGGGACAACAGGGCCTGGGATGGAGGGAGTTTGCTGGCTGCTTTAGGGAGTGGGGCAGGGCCAGGGCAGGGGGAGCCTGCCTCAGCCCCACTGCACCCCCACCCAGGAGCCACCTGTGGTAAATAGCGTCCAGCTGGAGCCAGCTCTGAACCCCTGCCCGTCCTGTACCCCCTCTACACCCCAAGGCCCTGCCATAGCCCAGAGCCCCCCTGACCCAAACTCCTTACAGATCCTGCGCCCTGCACCCCCTCCTGCACCAGCTACCTGCCCCAGACTCAGCTCAGAGCCCCTCACACTCCAGATCCCTTAGCCCAAGACCAGAGCCTGCGCCCCAACCCTCTGCCCCCCTGGTGAAAGGGAGGGAGAATGGGAGGAGGGAGTGAGCAGGGGCACGAAGGAGGCGGGGCCAGAGGATCTGGGTTTGAGGTAGATCCTGGATTGCACTTCAATTCAAAAAGTGATCTCGTGCTTAGAAAGGTTGGAGACCCCGACCCTAGGGCATGGGGAGGCTGCTGGCTGTGACGCAGGGGCAGGATGATTTGGTTCAGCATGAGGAGTGGGGGCAGAGAGAAGGTGCTGTGTGTGGCAGCCTGTGCAACTGGACTCCCGTGTGCTGTCTCCGAGACTCCTGTGGAGGGGCCACACCCGGCAGAGGCGAGCAGAGAACTTTGCAGCAGGACTAGGAGTCTTGCTGCGGGGGGAGGGGGGGGAGAACTAGTATGTAACCCTTTCAGAGATGCCCAGCTCACGGGGGCGCTTTGCCCTCTACATAAGCTGGAGCAGTGGGGAAGACCAGCCTGGGAGAATCTGCCAGCGGGTTTTCTGATCAAATCCCACTGAAGTGCGGGGGTTATAAGGCAGCTGATCTCCAACCGAAGTTCTAAACCCAGGACACATTGCACTTGTCTTGCAGGGCTTTTATTTCCCCTCGGCGATGCCCCCAGGTAGAGTGGGGGGAGCCCCTTGCCCAGGCCACCCTGTCCCTTGCAATAGCTCCGTGCTTTGCCCAGTCTAGTTCTAAATGATTTCCACACTTGGGCTCCCCCGGAGCCTGTTCTCCTGTGGGGCCCTTTGTCTGGCAGCCCACGATTGACTAGCCGTGCCTGAAGGGCCTTACCTGTCCAAGCAGATGGGTGCAAAGAGGGAGCAGAGGAAGATCCTGGCATCTGGGTGGCACTCTCTGGCGAGCAAGGGCAGCCAGCTAGAAGACTGCTGGGTCGCCTCTGCCATAGTCTCGTGTTCCAGCAGGTTGGGGATGCGCATCTCTGCATACCCAATGTCGTAGCACAAGGCCATGCTCCTTGGGATGAGCGTGCACCGGGAAGAGCTCCTCAAGAAGTACCCATAAGCCCCTGGGCAGCGCCAGGCTAACAGCCACATGACGAGGGCCAGCAGCCACTGCGTGCCCCCTTTGGCTGGAGCAAATTGCAGCTTGCCCATTCTCCGGGCAGGTGCTGTAACACGTTCAGAGACCCGGAGGCTCTGTCTTGGGCAGTCACTGGAGACTGACTTGCTCCTGCCTGGGAGATGGTTTTTATAGCACCAAGCCACCTCTCCGCTAATCCATTCTCATTAAATGCAGCCCGGCTGGGAAGACAATACCGCAGTTTGTGTTGCCCTGATTGTTGGGATTTTTGTAGGGGCTTGGCTGAGATCAGCAGGTGTTGATGTGGGGGAGGAGGGTGGAATGAAGGGCTTGGATCCCCCTTGTTTGGAGCTCTCTGTTCAGCGCTATTCCTCTGGCCCATCCTCTTCTCTGGATTAGTCATTATTTTATAAATGCCAGCGTTTTCCTCCCCTTTGTTTTTGTGGAAAAGCAATCAAGTGTTGCCCCAAGTCAATTAGGAGCCATTTGTTTAGCTGGATCCATTGTTAAACAGGCAGTGGGGTGGGATGGGCCCTATGTTCAGAAGTTAACCATTTCAGGTAGCAATTCATTTGCAGCCCTGCGGGAGGCTGTTTACACACACAGGATTATCAGCATTAGCCTGACACACTCTTCACCCAGCACTCTGACACAGAAAGCTGGTTCTGAACATGCATTGTGTATCAGTGTGAAATCCAGCTGCTGCCTCAGCACGGGCTCTCCCTTCTCTAGCATGTCATTAAACGGCCACATCTCAACTGGGGCGCTATGTTGGTCCTGGTCGGGGAACATCAGGTATTGGGGCATCACTTGTCAGTTTGCTCGGTGACCTCTTGTGTTATGTCACTGCCTAGAGAGTGGCGAGTGGATGCTGCAGCTCAGAAGAAGCTCTCGTAAGAGGACGGTGCCAGGAATTGTTCCTGTGAGGGGCTCGTGGACACAAGTGGCTGCGTTCTGTTTTCGGGGGGCCCCGGGAAGCAAGCAGCAATGGCGGAGTCCGCGGACTTAGCGCCTAGCTCTACTGAATGAGAGGCCCCCTTGTTGCTGTGGGGGTTAGCAGGCAGTGTCCATTCCAAACCAAAGTCATTTCCCACCTTTCTTTCTTGTCAGTGTGTTTCTTGGTTGGGCTGTGGGCTGCTTTTAGCCAAGAGACTTGCCGAGTCTAGGGCAGGCGGTTGAGAAATCAGCACAGAGGTATCTGAGCTTTCTAGCTGGACCAGACGCTCTGACTCCTTTCCCAAAAGAGCTGCAGTGCTAGCGAGGTGCGAGTGTGGCTGGCGTCCTGTGGGGTCTCTCCGCCATCCCCGGGACAGGATTGTTAACCCCACACTCCCTTTTACTGCAATTCTTCTGGCCACATAATCCCAGAAGGAACTTCTCTCCATTGAAAATTGCATGCGCTTGAGATACTAGCTCTGTGAACTGCTGGCTTCGTGTTGCTAAGGAGGGCCGGGGGGAGGGGGGTTCGAGTCCTGCAGCGTGTAATACAGGTACCTACCTGTTATTTCTGGGACCCCTGTTGGTGAAATCTCCTCTTCCCCTTTGGTATAAATCTGTGCTCAGAGATCGGTCGTCTCAGTGGAGCCGAGAGCACCTCATTGAGAGCTTTGTGGGCGTGAGGCTGGTGGCTCCCTTCCTCCTTCACATCAGTGGATTCACTAATCAAGGCTCCACCTGGTTCTCTGCCAAATTCCCCTCTGAATGAGGGCAAAGCAGCCAGGGAGCTGCAGGCATGCCCAGCACAAAGGCTCTTGGTTCTCTTCCTCCAGTCATTTCTGGCAGCTAGTATTCAGCAGAGTCCCTAGCCGCCTGTGGGTCGTCCTCTGCACTGCTCCATGGGGACAGGTATGCTGAAGACAGGAACAGATTTTAAAGTTCTATTAAAATGAGTGGTAAAAATGTTTGTCATACATAAGATTTAAAAAGCGTCTGTACCTCTGGGCATAGGCCTTAGACTGGCCACACACACAGGGTTTGTTTTAAGTCAGAAGAGACCTATAGTCCTTAATCTGCAAAGTCCAAATTAGGTGAAACTTCCCCTCTACCAGATCTGTTGGAAAGCTTCTTATTTCCCCCTTTCTTTGTTATTTGCCATTGATTAGAGATTTCACTGCAACGGTTTCCTTGGTCTTCCATTCACGCTTTCTTCTTCTCTGCAGAAATTCCGGATTTCCTAAGCGAAGACGAGTGTAAGCTGATTATCCACCTGGCCCAGTTGAAAGGTCTGCAGAAGAGCCAGATCCTGCCCACAGAAGACTATGAGGAGGCCATGGAAATGATCGAAATCAGCCAAATGGACATCTTCAACCTGCTAGACCACAACCAGGATGGGCAGCTGCAGCTCAAAGAGGTAGCGAGGTGGGGAGAGCCCTAGAGCGGGTTCAGAT